TAACCCTGGAAAAGTCTGTCTCTTCCTCTCTTGTTCAGTTAAAAATTGTTCTCCCTCTCATTTGTGATACTTCAGTTAAATTTTGCACATGTTAACATTCATTTGTCTTCCCACTTGTTTACCCGAAGCAGGCTTGCTGTTTGGTGGCATTCTCTCTTGCTGGGCTATTGTGAGCAAGACATTTTCCAGCTCAGAAGAGGATGCCACTCCCTTAGTCTCACTCAGTAGCTGTTACACCTCACTGCTGTTAGGAGAAAAAGGTTCCAGAACCTTGAACCTAAGACCAGACCTCCTTAGTTAGTTTTGTTTTTTGAAACTAGAGATTTAGCTACCTCAATACAGCATAATGATGCCAGAAAAACTTTTCAGTTTCTATACATGGTGGTGGTTGTTTTTATCCACTAAATGTTAAGTATAATTGACTTTATGTGAGAAAAAGCCTTGTGTACACATATGCAGTGTGTGATAGCTCATCTATCCATCCTGAAATTAGATTGCTGTTCAGATTGTTTTCAATGAAGACAAAATGTAGAGCAATTTCCCTGTTTGGGATTGGGCAATTTTTGAAAACACAAGATAAGTTTTATTTTAACACTTGGAATGCCTGAACGTAATTTGGCTTCTTATTTCATTTAAAGTTTACTTCATGTGATTTTTCTCATGTAAATGGTTAAAAGCAGATCCTATTGTTTTAATGGATATATAATTCTTTGTTGAAATGATGTGCAGGCAGTCACTGCTGTTACTTGACACGTATTTGCAGTGTACAGTAAAGGTGAGGATGGGAGTTAATCCAGCTGAGAAGAGGGGCTCTGGTGGCAGCAAGCTCAGATCGTACAGGAGGATGCAACTGGCGTCGTGCCTTGCCTGTTGCAATCACAACAGGTTCTGCAAAGCACTTTCCCCTCCTCATTTAGGAAGGAGTTATTACAGTTGTGGTCTCTGAGAAGGTCAGGCAGAAGAAGCAAGGTCAGTAACCGAGGAGAGGGAAGAGACAGGAAATCGGAATAAGAAAAAATATTGAGGTAGTGAAGTCAGCTGTAGGGCACAGGTTGACCAGGATGAGAAGACAGGCTGCAGCTGGGGGCAGACAGCACTTTTTGTCTTGACTTTGTTCAGTGAACAGCCCTGCTGCCCCAGCCTTTGTAACCTGCACAGAGAAAATAGTTTTACATCAGTAACTCCAGGGGCTTTTGCAAAGCGGTTCATCTGAAGAGGCAACACACCGTGACAAGGCTGCAGAGCCAGATCCAAGGTTGGCTAGGAAGTGTTACAAACTGCATGTTTGAAGCAGATAATGTAATATTTGCTTGATTTACCCTAGCTTTGAAGGCTTTCCCCATCAGGCATGACATTACTGCCCCTGAGCTGGTTGCTGCAGGCGCTGTGGGTGGCTCTGCACCGAGGGGAGAGAGGTGGCAGGTGGGCACCCCATCCCCACAGGCTGTCCAGGCAGGTGCTGGGGTCACAGCTAGCTGGACCGAGCCTTTGCAGGATTAGCACTTGGGTGAGACCTACGGCAACACAGCCCGGTGCTCTGAGTAACCATCAAAGGCTGGGGTTTTATTCTCTTTGTCAACTCCTCTTCTGTAAGGTGAGAAGATGAGAGAGATTTTTACAAAGGTAATGCAAAGGACCATAGTGCAAGCCAACTTTTTTTTTTTAGATGTTGTGACATCATTGTAAGAAAACAATGTGTTCTCACAGTGTTGTTTTTTTTTTTTTTTTTTAAATTAAAAACACACACACACACACACAAACACAACCAATGAAATAGCAAGTCACAGCAATTGGCAGGTCCCCGTGTTAGTATTTGGTGACGCCAGTGCTAACTGCAGCAGATGGAGAGATGCAAACATTCTGCAAAAACTTGGACAAACTGAGTTTCCTGAGCTTGAGAAAACAGCTCTGTAAAATGCTTCTTTCTCCTCAAGTGTAAGCTTTCTTAATGAATAACACTTTCTGAGAGAAGGAAGTTGCGATGTGACAGTGCTTTTGGGACCAAGCCAGCTTTCTCTCCAGCAAGCTGCTCTTTCTGTTGACAGTGGCTATTTATGAAACATATGCCAGGAACATTGCAAAGACAGCAGCAAAAGTCAGTTTGCTTATAAGTAGAGGGTAGAGGTATGTTTGCTTATTCTCTTGCTTTAGTAATCATAATCATTGCAAAATCTTAAAGACATGGAGTCTGAAGCTGGATAAGCTTCAGCAATTACAAACCTGAGGATGTAACTGGATGAAAGGCACTTGGGTTGTCAAGAAATTGCTGCTGTTTGTGTTTTGCCAGCTTAATACCATTGACATTTGCTGAATTTAGGGGTGTCAGAGAGGTCTTGCTGTACCAGCAAATGCCAGGGATGTAACCATGGACCTCTGGTGCCTCAAACTGATACCACTTGAGGGCAAAATGAGTGTTTATGAATTACAATATAGACAGACTGCGAGATTTTCTTTAAACTACTTGCTCTTCAGATGCTTCTCCAGTACTGTCCTGACTTACTGGGATCACAGATAGGATGTAAGACAGCAACTATGGTCAGGGTGTCACAGAGGGCAGAATGAGAAGGTTATTGTTACTTTACCAAACGTGCCAAAAATACACAGGCTTTGTGCTCAATTCTGTCTGGAGACTCCTTTTGCAAAGCTTTTAGCATGACTTTACTTGCTCTGTGGACCCCCAAGGAGCTGTCCTTGGAGTATTCTAATCCCAGGACTTAGCAATAGCAACAAGAAGCAGAAGGTGTTCAGATCAAACTGAATTGGAAATACATCAGATTTTAGTCACAGGAGTAACTGTAGGTGGGTAACGGCACTAGTGAAAGGATATTAGCAACCTCTGTAACATATGCATGTAACACCAGGCTGGTTTTCTCTTTCCCCAGTGTCTAGTTCCCTGGTTCATCTTTATTAGGAACACATGGAAGTGGAAAGATACAGTAAAATATGAGGGGAAATCAAATGGAGATGAAAAATTATTACCTTTTCAGTAATGTCCTAGCAGAAGAGTTGGAAGCCCTTAAAACTATCTGTAGTAAGGTTTTTCTCCCATATCCAATGCTGTTCATTTCCCTTTGTCTGGAAAGAGTTGTTTTAAAATGCAGCAAAAGTTGTCTCTGCCTTTCCTCTGTATCTAATTTCATGAACCAGCAGGATTCTGATTCCATGAGGAAAATGAAATTCCTCATGCTGGTTAACCAGCCTGCAGCCACAGAGGATATGTCAAGGATGCACAGCCCTGTCTCCTCATTCTGGTGTCTTTCAGGGAGTAGATGTGCTGCGTGTATACTTACACATATGTACTTACATGTAATCATGATATTATTTGCTAAAACTAAGTTTGTAGTTGGAATACAGGCTCAATTAAAGAAATGTTTACCTCATTAATATTTAAGGTAATTACCACAGAATTACAGAATCACCTAGGTTGGAAGAGACCTCCAAGATCACCTAGCCCAACCTCTGACCTAACACTACCAAGTCCCCCACTAAACCAGATCACTGAGCTCTGCATCTAAACTTCATTTCAAGACCTGCAGGGATGGTGACTCCACCACTTCCCTGGGCAGCCCATTCCAATGCCTAACAACCCTTTCGGTAAAGAAGTTCTTCCTAATATCCAACCAATCCAATATCACCACGACTCTTTGGGTCTGGCTACCCAGCCAGTTTTTAACCCAGCGAAGCATACGCCAGTCCAAGCCACGAGCAGACATTTTTCTTCAGGAGAATGCTGTGGGAAATGGTATCAAAAGCCTTGCTGAAGTCAAGTTAGACCACAGCCTTTCCCTCCTCCACTAAGTGCATCACTTTGTCATAGAAGGAGATCAGGTTCGTCAAGCAGGACCTGCCTTTCATAAACCCATGCTGACTGGGCCTGATCACCTGCTTGCCCTGCAAGTGCCGTGTGATGACTCTCAAGATAATCTGCTCCATGAGCTTCCCTGGCACTGAACTCTACCATTTCGTGGTCACTCTGCCCAAGACAGCTCCCAACCACCACATCTCCCACCAGTCCTTCTCTGTTTATGAACAGAAGACCTAGCGGGGCACCTCCCCTGGTGGGTTCACTAACCAGCTGCATCAGAAAGTTATCTTCCACGCTCTCCAGAAACCTCCTAGACTGCTTCCACTGAGCTGTATTGTATTTCCAGGATATGTCTGGGAAGCTCTTGCCTACGAGAACAAGTGCTGGTGATTGTTCAGCTTCTGCCTGTAGAACTCCTCATGCATCTCCTCATCCTGGTTTGGTGGTCTGTAACAGACCCACACCAGGATGCTTGCCTTGTTGGCCTTCCTGCTGATCCTGACCCATAGGAACTCAACCTTATCATTCCCTGCCTCAAGTTCCACAACATCGAAACACTCTATGATATAGAGAGCCACACCACTACCCCTCCTGTGCTGCCTGTCCCTTCTGAAGAGCCTATAGGCAGTCATGGCAGCACTCCAGTCATGGGAGTGGTCCCACCACGTTTCAGTGATGGCAACCAAGTCATAGCCTGCCTGCTGCACGATGGCTTCCAGCTCCTCCTGTTTGTTGCCCATGCTGCACGCATTAGTGTAGATGCACTTCAGTTGGGGCATTACCGTCTCCCCCAGCCCTGACATTGGTGCAGACCATGGCTGGTTTAGCTACAGGTAGACAGCCAGCAAACTGAGGTGCCATGTCCTGGCTGAGGCACCACGTCCTGGTCGCCATGTTCCCTGGGGGCTGCCTTTGAACGGCTGGGAAGGGCACGCTGCTGGCTCTGCCCATGCCTCCTCAGCCTCCCACACGAGGGCTGCTGGGGCCTGGCGGCTCCCTCGTCTGCCTCAAGTGGCCTCGATGGCAGAAAAAAAGCCCTGCCTGCCTTGATCCTCTGCTCCGCTACACAACGCGTCTACCCTGGAGCCGATTGCCTTGTTGCTGCTTATGCAAAGTAGTTATTGCTTTCTGCTATAGAATCATAGATTTAATGGCTCTTGTCATAAACTAAGCTGTGATCCCACGTGTGTTTCAGTTCCCACAGATGCCAGTGCCAGCTTGGGAAGCTCATATGCCCCTGTCCCCAGCGCCACTCCGTAAGATGCACCAGGACAGCTGTTCGCAGGGCGACTGGAGAAACCAAGAACAGAACCAGGAAGAATCCCTCCTTTTTAAGGTTAGTTTTAACACGGCCTGCTGATGGCTAGCACTGCTGCTGGAAGAAATTGTGGTTCCACTGGGATGGAATATGGAGTGAGAACCATACGCCTTCTGATTCTCCCTACTTGTCTTGGTGGGATTCTCATGACTGAACATAGTTCTGTATAGCAGAGAAGATTAAAAAAGATGTATTTAAATGAAACCTGCATATATAAATAACACATATGTTTGTATGTGTGATGTACGTGACATCTCTTCATGTATACGTACATGATATCTCTTCAGGAACTTTGAAAAGGTTAATCCCATCTTTGCTGGAGGAAATAGGAGGTTAGGCATGACCTGTCATGAGCTGTATGTGAATCAGGCTGCCGTGGAGGAGCAGCCAAGGACTGACAGGTAATCATTACAGACTTCTGCTGAACGCTGGCCAAGGTGGGGAGGAAACTTGACTGCAGCTTGATTGGATCTTGAAAGGAAAAAAGGTTGTAGTTGAGCTGGCTTGATATGTCGCAGCAGAACAGGTGAAGCTGCAGCCCTGGGACATCATCAGTGAGTTATGCTGCATCTATTTCTGGCTGCTTTGGGCCTTTTTCTCCTCTTCTAACTGAGTGTTTTAGCTGAATGGGGGCCAGTGATGAGTGCTCTGGGAGCTCTATAGAGGTCTGTATTGGGACCCATGGTTTAATGTCTTCACCAGAGGCCTGGAGGAGGTGAGGGAGTTCACTCCCATCACATTTCTGAAGGACAATAAATTCAGTGTGGGAACTGGGGTTTGATTTCTGTCCTTGGGGGTTCTCACGACCTGACAGGAGAACGCCCTGAGCAGCCCGGTCTGGCGCCAGAGCTGAAGGCTGGACCACAGACCTCCTCAGGTCCTTTCCAACCTGAAATATCCTAAGAGCCGGTGTCTGTAGGTGCAGTGCTCCTGCCTTTTTAAAATGTCTGTTTGGTACCACTACCTAATTCCATATCTTCCTGTGGATTGGTACTCTTGTAAGACACTGAACTGCATCAAGGTGACCTGTTGTGCTGAAGTTGAGAGTTAAGCTGTAAAGCAGCAGTACTGAAATGCTTTACTTGTCTAACATGGAAAGCCAAAGCACAGCATTCAGCAAAGTATGCTCCCCAGGAGACTGGCTGGAGCTGGAATATCCTTTCTTGGTCCTTGACAAGTAGGTTTTGCAGTCTCTGCTGAAGCTGGCATGGCTAAAACTGTGATGCTTATTTTGTCCAGGGTTGTGTTTCCACAGTTGTGAGCTTTTCTAAGTGAAGTTTTTGCCTCCATCCCTCCGGGGTCTGTAGTGGTGTTTCTGATGCACACAGTGTCCCCAGATGCTGAAGCATGGTACAAGAATGTGAAGAGGTTTAGAGAAAATTATTGCAGCCTTGCTCTTGAGGGTTTCACATACAGGGTCTGAGAAGAGGCAGGAGGGAGGCAGCAGGAGGAGTGAGAAGCAGGCTCAGCACACCAACCCGAGAACTGGGAAACTGCTGAGTGTGAAGCCTGTGACAGTGATTCTGTTCTTTAGTTTGATAGTGTCTTTGGCCTTTTTCTTAATGAGTTTTTCTAATTAAGGCCCTGTCTTTGGCTATTTAAACTTATCTTGCGGTCTCTGTCATTCTTGTTTTTGTTCAACATCTTTGATGTTTTCTGTTATTAATAACTGCATGGTGACGGTGCTGTCTGGTGGTAACTGTGGTGGTAACTGAGATAAAACAGTATCAAGGTCTCAGTTGCTAGTTTCTTTTTAAAATACTTTGTGAACAAACATTTCTCAAAGCAAGAGAAGAGCTGCACTGTGTCAGTTTTGAACGGTAAACAAACCCCACTTTGTATCAGAACTTCGGCTTAGATGAATCCCTGATGTTTGTCAGGTTTTTATTTTATTGTTCTCAATGGGTTCTTCCTAAGACATAGGAATTGCAAACTGGACAAGGCAACAGAGTTGCTGTAAGATATCTCAAGTGGTCACTGATAACAGGCTCTGCAGAGAAATATTGGGAAAATCTCTCATGCATGTTTCTGGAAAAAACATCTATTTGGAGGCTGTTTACTTCTGCTCTGAAATAAAGGATGAATTATTAGGTAAACAAAAATAATAATAATAAAAGAAAGCTTGTGGATAGTTGTGGATAGTTGACGTTAAGCATTGTGCCTGTAGATATGTGATGAAGGGAAGGAAAAAGAAGGTAAGTATAATTTTGTGTTACTTGGGGAAAAGATCAACATACCTCAGTGTATATCAACAATATTAAAAAATAAGCTGCTCATATAATTCAGAATCCTTAGGGAAAATAGAGAACAGGAAAACATTTTATGGCTTGGGCAAGTTGGTTTTCAGCTTTGTCTTGAGTCACCGTAAGTACTTTGAGCCCATATATATGAACTTAAGAATTCTCTTTGTTTTGTTCTTGGAGAACTTGCATTGAATGCACTCCTTGACAGCCATGTCAGTCCTTACCTGTTCGCTTGGCTCTTGGTGCATGCAAACCAGTTGTTCCCTGTGGCTGCATAGACTTTTATATCAGCTGGAGGACTCACTCTCTTCACAGGCTCTTCGGCACTGTCCTGTGCTGTGCCAGGTCCACATGGCCCTCAGGGTGAGGGGATGGGGCATGTGCTTGTGCAAATGAAGCTCCTTGTCTGTAGGGAGCTTTAGGTTGCAGCCTGGGAGAGCTGTGAAGTGCATTGGTGTTGTGTGTTCATGCATAGATGAAATAGTCAGGACTAGGCTATTACAAAACCCTCCTGCTTTATTTACTTACTATTTAGCTGTAATGAACAATTCTCTGATTCTTCTCTTGTTGAGCACTGCACCTCTCTCATGCTGATAATAGTAGATGATTTTAAAATGTTGCAAGTTCACAAGCAATTAGGGCAAAGACATGTCAGTAATGTGACTTTTTCATTGTCACAAGTCACCAGAGAGAAAGGGAAGTGTTGAAAACATGGTTTTTGGTTGCTGTTCTTGTTCAGTGAACTCTTGGGCAGATAACAAATCATGGCACATCCATCATTTCACAGCTATTTGGTGAGGTATTAAGCACTAAGCACATTTTGTGAGATATTAAGCATTGCACAGGCCTGCTTGGCCTCTACCAAGTCAGGCACACTCTTCAAAAACATTTATACAGTAGTTGGTTTAATTCTCTGGGATATCTGTTGCTCCTTTAATAATGCAGCTTTACGTTTATTACACCGGAGAGTGGACCTGCTTCTGTATGCAGAATCTTTTCTCTTGCTGTTTTTTCTTTTGGCAGGCCAACTTATCTGGTGCTAGTACATCACCAACCACCTGCTGTGGGCTATGTATCTGTTTTCTTAATTGCAATGAAATCATTTATGCCAACTAATGCCACATTACAACAGCATAATTTAATTTGGAGCTGTTCATTATAGTTCTATTACCCTTCAGCTTTGGCACCCTCCCAGAAAAGGACCCATGTGTAGTAGGTTAGACAGTTTCCTGAAATGATAAAAATGCACCCCACACAGCTTGCTGCCAGGTCTTTTGTGCTGCAGAATTCTGGCATAATTGCATTTATTGGGTTCTGCTTGTGTCATGCTAAAAAATAATAACAGTAATGGCATTTTTTCATAGAATTACAAGTCTAGATTGCAATCTTTTGCTATTCTAACTTAATCACGTTATACTATAAAAAATAAAGATTTTTATGATGCATTACAAATGTTGCTTGCTTTTAAACAGTGGAGCTTTTAACTTGAAACCTGTATGGAATTATCCACTAGGTTAATAGGCGCCATGGCTAGAAGAAATTCAGGGTGCCTCACAATTACTCCCTAATGAGAACAGTAATGAAAGCTGAACTTGTGAGCAGTTGGCTTTTTGAATTTACTTTTATTTTGCATTTAATGTACATGGTTTAAGGCATTTACTCCATTATTATTTAAGGTGTTAACATGCAGAATGCGGTTTATTAACCATTCCACTGTTTCTCTAAAAGTATTTATGGTATTTTTTAACAATTAATCAAAAGCAGACATTGTAAAAATGAAGACCAGATTTATTGCCAAGATCATAAATGTCAAGTATACTGTTATGCAGGCTTTGTATTACTTCAGTTGCAACTTTAAAGAACATTTTAAGTGATTGGAAAAAGGAAGTTTATTAAAAACTCAGCAGGTCTTCTTTGCACTCTACTGTTATTAATGTAAATCATTGCATCACATGATAGAGGAGCAGGCAACGTGGTAGGAACAGTTTTTAATCAGGTCTTCTCTGCAAATACCAATAACTTCAGGAGGAACTAAAGCCACAGACCATCCCATTTCCTCTGACAAACAAATGCTGTGACATTTTAGAAGAAGGAAAGGATACAGCAAACCACCCAGGGCAGGTAACTGCTGAACTTGTCTTGGAATATATCCTCATATTTTTGAGCAGCAACTGGACAGTGAACAAGAGTTCAATGAAACAAGTTCATTAAAGAGTTCTGAGTAAGGTAAGGAAGAAAGAAGAAATATTTAGATCAAAGGCAAAGCTACTTCAAATGTTTCATTTGTATATTACTGCGTTTTCAAAATACTGTAGTCCATGAGACATAGACATGATTTTAACCTCCTTTCTAGTGTGGAAAACTGCTGACCATTTGCATTGAAACATTAAACACAGGTAGGGGTGTTTTTTTTTTTAATCTGGGAAGCCTTATCACCGAGAGGTGATTGCTGACACTGTGAAGTGTTTTCTAGCTGTCAGTACAGGGAAATTAATGCTGGAGTATGAAGAACACGTACAAACAATACAAAATATTCAGAGCACTTTTATCATTGGATAAGACTGTTAAGAAAAATTGCACACAGGTTAAGGAAGTGAAATGGTTTGTCTTACAGAAAAATGTCTGACAAGGGACATGGTTTATGATACTGTCATGCCAAGTCCTAGTGTACAAGTGATGTCTGGCTTCTGCACGCCTGTGGACTCTTCCTGCTCCCAGGAGCTCCAAGGGCTGCCCAGAGCTGTGTGGGACTGAGCAGGTCTCCCCTCAGCCCAG